GATTCCCCCTTTCTATGTAAAGCGCTTTGAGTGCCCAGAAAAGCGCTATATAAATGTAAGGAATTATTATTATTATTATTATATGAATGTAAAATAATCATATTCCCTCTAAGGGGCCTCAGCAAACTTTTAAGGGACCACTATTACTAAAAATCATTATTACTATATTAAATTAATTTTACATTTAACACACACACACTCACACACACAATCAAGATGTAAATTGAAATCACATTTATTTTTTTCCCTTCAATAACTGATGTTTTTAACATAAAAATCACAAAATTAATCATGGTTAATGCATTTAATATATCAATAATCCCAGTTTCTCTTTATTAAAAAGGGTTTAAAAACAAGCAGCTTTGCTATAATTACAGCAGAAATACCAGAAATTATAGTCTGGAATTACTGTTTTGAACAAAAAAGGGGCCTTCGAGTCAAAAACGATGAGAACCATTGTTTTAAAACTCTTGTTATTTGCTTCATTTGTGATTTTTAGGTTGTAGTTTTTCCTGATGTGGATGTCACTGGTTGTTTCCAAAGGGAGATTTCATCAGATTTAGCTAACTTTTTGGGACAAATCTGTCTTCAAACTTTAGCTAAGTAAGTCCAAATGCACACACACACACACATGGATGGTTAGCACAAACAAAAGGTGTCTCTGCCCAGCTCCAGCTGAGCGGTGTGACAGAAATCCGATTCCTAGCGTGATGGCGAGACAATGCGGCCTCCCTCATTTGCCACTTCACCAGTGTTTAATCGGTGGTCTCCTAGACCGAAAGAGTGATTGAAAGAAAGGAAGAGAAGAGAGATAAAGAGAGGGAGAGAGAGTCAATGATTTCCCAACTGCCTTTTTGAATAGAGTCTCTAGTGTCTCATCTGACCTGACCGTTATGAGGGCCATGGGAAGATGTGATTGGCTCATTACCTCTGCTCGCTCCTGATAGCCGAGGAGGGTGCACCAAAGCCCCTCTCGTCTTCTGAATTTACACCGTTTCTCTCTTCGTCTCTGTCTCCTGACAACATGGCAGTCTGCCAGGGCTCTGGTTCTGACCTGACATTTGCTGTTTTCTTTGGTTCAGAGGAGCGATGTCAAAAGTACTTTGGTGCCAAGACAATGCTAAAAAATTACCACATATATCATGATACCAGTCGAGAAATACTAGAAAGCTACATTCTATTGTTTGTTATATATCATGGTATAATATGTTAATATGTAAGTTAGTTAAGTCAAGCCATCACAGCCATCAGTCCAGTCTTTAGTGTCACATGATCCTTCAGAAATCATTCTAATATGACGGTACTCAATTATTAATCATTATTACTGGTGCTTGGTTATTAACAAAGTTCTTAACCAAAACTTTTGAATGGTAGTGTATCACAGTTTTTAAAAAAAAGTAATAATAATAAATTAAGCAATTAAAAAAAAGCATCAGAACTGTTTTCAACATCGATAATATATTTAAATGACATTAATAAATATTAAAATTATTTCCGAAGAATAAATATTTCACAATATTACTGTTTGTACTATATTTTTCATCAAATAAATGCAGCCTTGGTGAGACTTACCTCAAAAACATCAAAAAATCCAAACTTTTGACCAGTAGTATATTTATTAATATTTAACTTTGTATGAGTGTCTTGAATAACATACTAGTTTTTGCTCCGGTCTTGAAATTGGTAGCAAGAATGGTGATATTTCGACTCCTGAAATCTTGGTCTCATGACAGCCGTAGTTCAGAGAGAATAATGATTCGTCCTTCCTCAATGTGGCAGCAGTAATGGATTGGTTTTAAGAGCTCCAGCTAGTTGCTCATATTGTTTGGCTTCACAGACAGGCGAGTCAAAGTGCTTGAGGGTGATATGACGAAACATCCAGCGGTGACAACTGACTGAGCATGATTCCAGCGATTGTGTCTGAGGTGATGTGTGTTGCCTGTCTTTTGTTTCTGTTGCTGATCTCTTTCGTTCCCTTCAAAAAGTGTGTATACTGTATAATTCATTTGTAACCTCTCTTTTTATGTGTAACTGAAATTAGAATTTAAACTGACACCATGTCATTGACCCGTACTATTTATAGTAGCTGTGTATTTCGTCCAAATGCAGTACTTTACTGAGCTGTACACTGTACTCTCGTTCTCATTTGTGAGATGAACAGACTTCACATTTAATTTCCTGTAGGCCCCCTTTGATTCTTGGTGTCACGTCAGCCATGTAACCTTTGTAGTGATGGCAAAGCTCTGCGCTTGTTAGATACCGCTGAACTTCGAGAGACCTCCACATCATCGCTCTGAGTATGAGAGTCTGTATCAGCACTTTTGTGATTGGTTGATGACAGTGATAGCACCTCCCATCACTTATGCATGCCCTGTTCTCCTCAGCCATCATTCAGGAAGTGACACACAGGAAGCATACAATGCAGTTACCGTATCTTCCCTGCTATGTGCTGACGTTCAGCACTTTGGTTGTGCTATATGTGACCTATAAATCCTCCACACTTCTGATGGGAGGGAGAGAGAATCTCTTGACCGCTGCTTGGGAAAGCAAAATAATTGGATTCCTGCTCCTTATCACACTCAACACATTACGAGTTGTCAAAATTCCCTGCTGCCAGGACTTGGTCACGTTTCAGTCAAGCAAGAGGGATTTCATATGGCTGGCTGATAGGTGAGACTTTTTAGATTGTGTTATTGCCAGTCACTGGGGGCAGTAGTGTCCGACACGTGTCTTAGACTCTCACGTGACAATGCTTGGTGGACGTTACTGTATTGACCTTTTTGTCTAATTTTATTGCAGCTTGTTGCTATTACAAAACTGCACTCTCTATCATTTAAGTGGCTTCAATTCATTCTACGTGCAGTAAGTGGGGGAATTGTTTTTGTTTCTTTGCTATGATGTGGAGTTGACAGCAAACCTTTCCTGACCCTTGCAAACAGTTTCGCTTAAGTGAGTGATTGAAACCCCAGCCACAAAATGATAACAAAGTAGATTTTCTGAAAAAATATGTGACATACTGAGTTCCATGTTTTCCCATGTCTCTCAGATTGTCTGCAGTCTAGGTATGATTGGGGCCCCCAGGGGCCTCCACAGGCTGTCCTGAGTCGAAAGGGCTCATCCCCTATTCAGGTGATAATCAGATGCCTAGATTTGCCCTCTAGGGGCCTTTGAGGCCCCAAACAGGATTTATGTACACTGCCTTGTCAAAATGACTAATTACCAAATTTCTATAATATTCTGATAATAGATAGGTCTGGGCCCCCCAGATGCCTCTATACACTGTCCTGGGTCAAAATAGGTCACTCCTATTTTTCTACAAAAACCAAAAGTCTAGATATGGTAGGATTTCTGTATACTACCCTCAGTCAGAATGACCCACCCCAATGTTTCTGGTACTTGGGGCAACCCAAGTACCTCTGTATACCTCCTGGGGTCAAAAGAGCTCACTCCCATGTTTCTACATAAATCAGGTGGCAAGATAGATCTGGGGCCCCCAAGTGCCTTTGAACACTACCACCGGTCATAAGAGCTCACTCCCATGTTTCTACAAAAATCAGATGTCTACATATGGGGCCCCATGCAGAGTCTCAGTACATTACCCTGAGTCAAAATGACCCGCCCTGATGTTTCTATAATATTCTAGTGCCTAGATAGGTCTGGGGCCCCAGGTGCCTCTGTACACTTCACCAGGTCAAAACAGCTCACTCCCATGTTTCTGCAAAAATCAGGTGCCAAGATATGGCTGGGGCCCATACAGGATCTCTGTTCACTACCCTCAGTCAAAATGACCCACTCCTATGTTTCTATAACATTCTGGTGCTTAACTAGGTTTGGAGTCCCTTTGTACACTACCCCTAGTCAAAAGAGCTTACTCCAATGTTTCTATAAATAAGCAGATGCCTAGATATGACTGGGGCCCTATGCAGGATCTCTGTACACTACCCTTAGTCAAAATGACGCACCCCTATTATTCTATAATTTTCTGGTGCTTAGGAAGGGGAACTCCAGTACACGACACTGTGTCAAATGAATCCACACCCATGTTTCTATAATAATCATGTATGGGGTTTCTTGGGGCCTCTAGGGGCCCCAAATAAATAGAGACAGACAGATATGCACACATAGGACATATACAGGAAAATACTTTAAAAAAAATAAACTTTTAACAAAAGAGAAATTTGTGATGATTGAACATTTTCAGTGATATTTTAGTTTTTTGGATGAATATTTTATTGATAAAAGGGAAACTTTTAGCAGGGTTTGTTATACTTGCATTCAAAAGGTTTTTCTTGAAGCACCATTGCTATTGGAGTTTAAGGTCTCATACTAGGTCAAAATGCAAAATCAGAATTTGCATTTGTTATTATCCTGTCTGAAGTAGTCGGAATTGGAAAAATCACATGTCCTATTCTAAAATCATTACATGGCCAGGACATTTCATGTGGCCTATGCCGAGTACACACCCATTTCACTTCTTTGTTCACTCAGTGTCCCTCTTCTATACACACATAAAACCTCTGCTTCTTTTTTTTTCTTTTTTTTGTCTGCCCATTAAAATGATTGATCATTAGGGGATGCTGAGAAAGGTGGGATGTAATTATGAGTCCAGGCAGCTTTGTCAATTCCCACAGTCTGGGTTGAGCCCAGCAGAGATCCTAATAGGAACCTGCAGTGTTAACAACACACACGCTCACATGGATATAGAGGGAAAAGAGGGCTGTGAACACAATTTGGTTGATCGCCAACTCAACTAGAAACTCAGTTTCCACCACCGCTTAGACCAAAAGCATAATCTATATAAGTATGCAAGCACTGAGGCATTGCAACTGTGTAATCCCATTGTACATACTTAGTGTTTTCATTTGATTAGCACAGAATGTATTTCAGGCTAAAGAATCACTCCATCTTTTTATTTATAACTTTGTAAGAAATAAGCATGTATGTACAAATCATAGTATGTGATGTATTTACACAAACATTCTTTTCCTTTTACCTTTCAGAGAAACTGAACATGTTGTCTGCACTGATCGCCCCCTACAAGTACATGAGCCCAGCAGCCAATTGCACAGAAGACGAGGACACATTGAGTCAGTATGCATAATCACTAACACAAACCCTTTCATTAAATTAAAACATTAAATTAGATTTGAACATATGCAATATACAGTATGCTAGAAGAGTTGGAGACAGGCAGCACTACAAAAACAACATTTTGGTCCTTTCTCACAATTTAGGCTTGCATCCATGTGTTGAAGTTTATTTTCACAGATGAATTTCATTTGGTTCCATCACAACACAGTTGGGGTGTGAAATAGAGGCTTTAATGTGTGATCAGACTTTCACACACTGAAATCTCATAACCGTCTGCTCTCCTGCATTTCAAAAGGACGTCTCCTTTGCATTGTATATGGGGAGACGATTTATACCCACTTTAAGTATAGACACTTTAAGCCAATTTTGTGGGAGATTATGGAGCGATTTGCCAGATAATGCCCCATTTTAGAGGATTTGTCTTCTGGTTTTTGCAACCGTTAAGTAGAGGAGGCTTTTCTCATATGGAACTGTTGCTTTGGGGATGGTAATGGCAGTTTTTAATATCAACTTGTATATGACTTTTACCAGGTCATGTGAGATTATGAGCAGAATGGAGAAGAAGATAGCACTCATTGAGTGCCTTGATCATAATAACATGTCATTTCTGCTTCCAACCTAGGCACCAGCAGTACTGAGGTCAAGGAGAACCGTAACACGGGAAATTTGGAAGATTGCGCTATTGTTCCATCAGATTGCCAAACACTCTTCCTGTCCGATGCGCCCAGGGATGGGGCATCTGGCCTCAAGCGAAAGCGACCTTTGGAGGAAGACAATAACGGACACTTGCGCAAATTGCGTCTGTACTGCAAGAAACTGGCATGGTCCGATGCACCAAAGAACGCTCTGGTCCAGTTGAACGAGCTGAGACCGGGTCTACAGTATCGGATGGTCTCTCAGACAGGACCAGTGCACGCGCCTCTCTTTTCCATCGCCGTGGAAGTTAACGGACTGACATTTGAGGGCACCGGCCCTACGAAGAAAAAGGCTAAGATGAAGGCAGCCGAGATGGCCCTGAAGTCCTTCATCCAGTTTCCCAATGCCTCGCAAGCTCACTTGGCCATGGGCGGCCTGAGCAACCCCGCGGCCGACTTCACCTCGGACCAGGCCGACTTCCCAGACACGCTGTTCAAAGGCTTCGAGCCTGACGGCTGCCGCTCTGCCGAGAGCGAGTTGCTGTCTAGCGCCCTCCGTTTGCGCCACACATTGGACTTGATGGTGGTGCAGGCCAGGCAAGGAGATCCCTGCCTCCCCCCACCTCCGGTTCCCGCCACCCAGCCCAGCCCGGTCGTCCTGCTCAACGACCTGCGGCCCGGCCTGCGATACGCCTGCCTGTCGGAGCGTGTTCAGGGCAAACAGGCACACCGCAGCTTCGTCATGGCCGTTCGAGTGGATGGCAGGATATTCGAGGGCTCAGGTCGCAGTAAGAAGCAGGCAAAGAGGCAGGCGGCTCTGTGTGCCCTGCAGGCGCTCTTCAACTTCAGGCTGGCACCTGAGGCGAGAGCGGGACACCGGCCCAGTAGGATCAAATGCCCTCATTTGCCCCAGGTGAGTGTGCCAGTCCAGCCGCTGGCAGGCCACTCGTTCCATACGGAGGGCCTTAATAACCAAAGCAGCAGGAATGCTGGGATACAGAACTGCCAGCCAAGGCTTAATTAAGAGGGAGGAGATAATGTTTGGGGAGGCATGGAGCAGTACAGATGGATTATGGGGGAGAGGTTAGGCTATATCGCAGCGCAAAAGGTGGAAGCATTTTATGTTAGCACACGGGCTTTAACATTTACTTTGGGCAGGACAGGACGGCATATCTAGTATAAACACACACATGTGTGTGTACTTATGAAAGCAAAAGGGCCAGAGGTAAACAGAATCTATTCACAGATCTATTCAGACGGAAAAAGGATGTAAATGAGGCAAATTATCATTCGGGAGCCTCTGACTCCAGAGAGAAATCCAATGCGCCAACAAATGAGTTTTCTTTTTTCTTTCTTTCGTTTTTTTTTTTTTACTTTCCATGTGTTTATAGAGCTAAATTGCAAAAGTATTGTTATTTTGCACAATCTCTAGTTTCCTCATGTATGACATGGCAGTGTCTATAAACATTAATTCAATCTGTTGCCCAAAGGAGATTGAAAAAAGCACAGAGCAAATCAACAAACAATCCTCAGACCCATTCTTCTGTTATTTAGTCAAATATGTAAATAGCAATCAGACTAGGGAAATAATGTTTTTTTTTTCTTAGAGAACTAAATTTTTTTTATTTTTTTTTATTCAAAAGTATTTTTGATCCCTTGTGTGTCCATATTAAGTCCAAATGTAATCAACATATAGTGATGTCAATCAATTGTAAATTTTAATTGAATTACGTGATTTTGTAGTTAACTACATTGTTTTAATAGCACCAAGTTTTGATTGCCATACAGTACATACACAGTCTATAGTTTGGCTAATTATATTACTTATTGGAAGAATTGTTTTTAATTGCTATAAATTTAATTAATTAATGAACATTTGTCATATTGCTGCCATTTTCGAAAAGCAATAAGCCACTCATGACCTCGCATTGCAGGGATTTTACCATGATTAATGGAGTTTCCTTAGTTTTTAAGAATCACTCACGGATGTATGCGGCTAATCAGTTTATTGTGTGGTGATTGTGACTTTTTCTCTCCTCAAGTATGCACATGTATATGAGTGCATGTCAGCATCAGCTCTCCTGTGTGTGTGTTTCTTGTGCTGTATTAGTATTCAGCCCCTTCCTGCACAGAGCCGACAGGGAGAATGTTGTCTTTCCTCTCCTACTACAGCAGCCAAACAACCTGCACATGTTTGCCGGAGAGAAACTTCTCCTTTCTCCTGCTCGCCACACTCTTTAAAAGGATTTATAAGAGGATTTGCCTCACTAGTTTAGTTCCAGAAATGCACTTCCTTGTGGAAATTCTTGAAAGTCAGACTACGGCGTTGGCTGTTGAGTTTCTTAGAAATGATGACAGGAACATGCACATGTAATTAGAAATGTTCCTTCGGTTCCATCACAGAATCATCCAGCATCATCTGGCCGGTGGAACGAGCGTTTGTGCATGTGTGTTTGAGCTTGTATGACGATTTCTCAGTAGTCTGGAGATCTGAGGGTTGGATGGCGCTCAAACCACTGCCTGTAGGGTGTCTTCCTGTGCCGCAGGGCCCTGCTGATAGCAACCGCTGCCAGCTCTGCCACTGTCACACTGCTCTCAAGACCTGAGGTTTTTCTCTTTCTTTCTGAAGCAACTTCCTTTAACAACATTCATTGCAGCAACTAGTAGCAGCAGCTTTTCTATAACGAAATATGAAGTTCATTTGCAAAAACCGATAACTCCATTTTTATTTATTTTTTCAGAAATCACGCATTCCAATTAATATCAATCAAACTGCAGTTGGGTTGTTTTGATTAAGTAATAATAACTTAAACAAATACCGGTAATTTACAAAATTAAAGTTAATTGAAAGTATGTTTTTTTTTTTACATGTTAAAAGTTTGTTTTATAGCAAAAGCAGATAACTCAAACAGTCATTTTTTGGCAAAAGCAGATAACACTACATTTTATGTTTTAGAGTTTAAAAAAAACACTCGTTTAATCTTTGTAATCTCCTCAGATGACAATGTAGATGCCTGACAAACGTTGTTGTTGTTGTGATCATAGACTGTATGGATGTGATTACACGCAATACACGGAGCTTTTCCCTCACTATTGTAACGCGCTGCTTTTGCAAGGTT